CTGCTGGTTCTGGGAATCCAGCCATGTGCTGGACAGTGGCTCCCTGGCGCCATCGAGGGCGGGCAGTAGAGGTCACCATTTTGTATTTGGCCTCAAGAGGAAGAAGATGGGGAGAAAGATGGGTTTTTTCTATTCCCCGTAAAACAGCGGTTCTCAACCCGTGGGTTGCGACCCCTTTGAGGGTCAAACGACCCTTTCACAGGGGTCACCTGATTCCTAACAGTAGAAAAATGACAGTGATGAAGTAGCAACGGAAATAATGTTATGGTTGGGGGTCACCACAACATGAGGAACTGGACGAAAGGGTTGTGGCCTGAGGAAGGTGGGGAACCACTGAGTTTCAGTCTTGGAAACTCGCAGGGGGAGTTCTACTTTGTCCCACGGGGTCGCTGTGGGTTGGCATCAATGAAGAAAGATGAAAATTTCTACTCCTAAGGAGATAGGGTCTCAGAAACTCACAGGGGGCAGTTCTGCCCTGTCCTATAGGATCATATGAGTTGGAATCAATTCAATGGCAGTGAGGGGTGTGTGTGTGTGTGTGTGTGTGTGTTTGGGGGAGGGGGCTACTCAAAGGGGCCCTGGTGGCACAGTGGTTCTGCACCGGGCTGCTAACGGACAGGTCTTCGGTTTTAAACCACTTCACGGAGGAGGAAACGAGCCCAGAGAAGTGATCTGTCCCGGGAACTCCAGTCTCTAGCTCTCAATTTTGGGTTGTTTGCGGGAAACTGAGAACGGGAAGAGAGCGAATGTGGACACACATTCTCTACACTCATCTTTGAGTCTGGGAGGCCAGGGTCCTCATGGAGGGAAGCCTTCCCACTCCCGAGGTGGCGCTGTGTCCCAGTCCCCGCTTCCTAAGTAAAAGTTGTTTCCCACAATGTCCCCCCTCCCCCGGCCCCACCTCCCACTGGAATGATGCCATCCTGAAGGTGCTGCTTGCAAACACATGATTGCTCCTGCATTCTGCTGGAAGGGTACTCGACTGAAGGCTGTCTGTCCTCCAGCGCAATCGGACCCTATTTATTGTCTGTTCCACTCTGACGTGCAGCGCACCCCCTTGGGATCAGGATCACAGACTGTTCCCCTGGAGAAAGCTCGGGGACACTTACAGTCAAGCCAGCTCAGAGACGACCAAGATTAGGTCACCATCTTAACGCTAGAACCTGCTCATCTTGTTACATATGTAGCTTCCTGTCACATGTCTGCCTCTAGCCCCTCCCCTTCCTGTGTGACATGGCTTGCTTGCCGGCGATCTTATAAGCTGGGAGAGAATACATTGGCCCCTCACTCTGGTTCTGGTTGCCGGGGGAGAGGGGTGCCCTTGCCTGCCTTGACCGTGGTCCCTTTAACGTACCCCTCAATTCCACAACCCCCCTTAGCCCCATCTTTTTCTTTCTTTCTCAACTCAAAATGCCTTTGTGGGAAATTTTCAAAATTAAAGCAGACGCATGCAATAAAGACCCCTCCCAAACCCAGTTGGCAGAGAACGGAGGGCTCCCAGTCCATGCACACCCCTAGGCCCCACCCCCACCCCACCGCTCCCAGGCTGGCCAGGGAGTCTGGCTACCTCTTCCTGTGGGGATGTTTCAGCTGCCCACTAAGCTGCGCCCCCAGCCCTGCAGTTGGAGCTACACTCAGGATGGCAACGTCTGCATATAATTCTTTGGGGGGGGGGGGAGGTAGGGGGAGAGGATCCAGGGAGCCCCTTCCCTTGCAGGTCTCAGAGCAGCATGTGGGGATGATTAAGCCGGGGTGTTTTCTCTAGAGCGCTCAGGGAGGTGACACTGACAATGTTGCGGTCAGAAGGCAGGGAGGGCCAGCGCCTCCGTGGGAATGCTCCCCCCGACCCGCCCAGCTTCTACTAAGTCTGGCATTCTGTGCAACTGTTTTCTAAGCCCCTTCCAGCCCCAGCCCACCCCACCCACCCCCCACCGAGTCCCAGGGTGACCCTGACCCCACAGCAGCCAGCCCCAACCTGGCGTGTCTTCATCAAACATCACCTTTGCATCTGAGCTCTGGAGGAGCTGGCTCGCTCTTTTGCTCCAAGTTGCAAGCAGGCTGCTCGTCCCAGCTGCCCGTGTGGGCACCGCTCTGTGCCCCGATGGCTGGTCCTTGGAGGGTGGGAATTCCCTGGGGTGGGTACAGGCCATTCCACACTGGAAGCGCCATGTTTAAGCCAGTGTGGGCCCCTGTGCTCCACGGGCCATCACCTTCCAGAGACTTCCATTGGGTGGGGGGCGGGGGGAGGGAAATCCTGCCTCCAGTGACCTCTTCCTCCTGGGCACACATTCCTGCTGAAAGCAAAATGTAGCCCCGTAGCTCCCCCTTGCCCAAGCCCATTGCCCAGAGAGTCAGCAACTCCTACTGACCTTGGACATCCCTCAGTCCACCCATTTTCTGGGCCTTCGGCTCAGGCCCCTCCATGGTGGAATGCCTAGTGGGGTCTCACGACTTCTGTGAGCCAGAGCAAGGGGTGTCCGTGCAGCACCTGCACCCCATGTGGTCCCTCCGACCTAGACACCTGCTCTGGCCTCCACACGAGTCTCTCTGCTTCCTCTCTCAGCCTCCTGGTCCCTCCTCCACCAAGCCAATCCCTTTCCAGGCTCTCCCCGGGCCCTCAGGATGATAGCCAAACTTCTAGACCAGGCCACCCAGCCCTGCTGGAGCCACACCCTGCTGCTCTCCAACTACATCCTGTGCCAGGAGGCCCCGCCCAGGAACTGTTCTCATCACCCCAGCAAGACAGACTCCGCCATGGCTCCGGGCCTTCACCTGTGCTGTTCCCCTAGCTGGACACACTGTCCTTCCTCCTTCTGCCTTGTCTGCCTAGTTCACCATCGCTCCAGGCACACCTGCTCCACGAAGCCTACCCACATGCTTGAAGCTGGATCCGGGGTTCCTGCACGCTCCTCTCTCCCCTAGGCCACATTCTTGGGGCCTCCATCACGTGGTATCCTCAAGTGTTTTGCTTTTCTGGTCAACCAGGGACCCTAGGCTTGTTCTCTGTTCTCTTTCCAAAAGTCCAGGCCCAGAACAAATGTTTCATAATACTCGGTCAACGAATCAGTGAACACTGAAAGCAGAAGCCAAGCACAACTCCGGCTGCCCACCCAGCTCAGACCGCGGGGCGTTCCCTTCCCCAGGCCTGGCCCTATCACCAGGTTGGCCTGAGGGAGCTCAGGACGTTCAGCAGAATGCCCTGCCCACTGCTGGCAGAGTCAAGAGGAAACCCGAGCTTCCAGGGAGCTCCAGAGATCACACGCAACTCAGGACCCCTGTACACTTCTGATGAGGCTAATGGCGAGCCCACAGAAGAGTTGCTTCCATGGTCAAATCCAGGAGTGCTCAGTAAGACTCTTTAGGGGTCTACTGGGGCAGCTGGGGGAGGTGCTCTTGCCCCTCAGGGGGCATCATTACAGAACCTTCCGCTGTGGGTTCGACTGTGTCTCCAAAAGGCATACTGACGTCCTGACCCGTGGTACTTGTGAATGTGACTTTGCTGGGAAGCAGGGCCCTCGAAGATCTTTTCCGTTAACCTGGTCACCCTGGAGTCCAGTGTGGGAAGGAGACGCGGCAACACACAGGGAGGACAGAGGCTGAACTCGGAGGAGGCACGCAGTCACAAGCCAAGGGATGCCAGAAACTAGGGGCTGCCAGAAACTAGGAAAGACTCTTCTCGTGGTGTGTGTGTGTGTGTGTGTGTGTGTGCTGTAGCAGACACAGAAAACGTATACACTTTCAGAAGCACAGAGGTGACCCCTCTGGAGTGTAAGATTTTTCACGTGGCTCCGATCTGTTTGCGGCCACCGGCAGCTTGTGGACGGAAGTGCCAGCATTTCTCAGGTATTTGATGCACCATGGGCAGGTCAGGCTATAGGGGAATAGGCTCAGCCCTTGATCCCATCAAAACATGACTGTCATGCTAACTGCTCCACGTCCCCTCACCCTATTCTGCAGCTAACTTGCCTGGTGGGTGTGCCTGTCAGAATGGGTAGCCTGGGGCCCAGGTGGAGAGGGCTGGCTTCTCCCTTCTCTCCCTTCAGCTTTCTTGGTCCTTGGTGTCCATGGGTGGTGGCAATACCCTCTTGCAGTTCAAGTGTCCTCCGTCATTCCCAGTGACGGGGTGCATGGGGGGCCTTGGGACAAGACATTCTGGTGGCCTCCACTGTCAGGGAGCACTCCTCTTGCCTGTGAGCCCAGCTGGGCCCTCCACTCTGAAGCCCCATTTTCTGGGCCTTTGGCTCAGGCCCCTCCATGGTGGAATGCCTAGTGGGGTCCCATGCCTTCTGTGAGCCAGAGCAAGGGGTGTCCTTGCAGCATCTGCACCCCACATGGTGTTGGATCTTCGGCTACCTACGCTGCTCCTCGTGGGGTAGAGAAGATGCCCCCTGCCTGGTGAGGAAAGGGGTCCTTCCCCACGTCACCTGGCAAGGCAGAAGCAGGTTTGGGGCGGAATCCTCCTCTTGGGACCAGGGCAGGGGGCCCTCCTCCAGGTGACTCACTCCCCACCCCCTGGGGTTCTTCAGAGTGGAAACCAATGGAGTCAGGCCCATGAGGCCAGAGAGGCGCTCCTGGAAGCTCTGGGCTCCGTCCCAAGCAGCCAGAATGGATTTGCAAACCTGCCCCAGCCCCTCAAGGCCTTGCCCTCCCACAAGTTTTCAGGATTAAAAAAGTCGTTTTATTTCTCAAAGACAAAAAGGCCTTTTGGTTTTCATACACAAAGTAAGTGAGGTCCTTGGCAAGCTCCTGGTCCACCTCTGACCCAGCCCGTCCAACAGTCATGGTCTGAAGTTGCAGGTGGCCGTGGGTGGGTGCTCAGCTGGATCTCACCAGCCTCTGAGTCAGAAGTCCAGGCTGGAGAGAGGGTCCAGGATAGCCCAACCAGCTCGTACCCCGGACAGAGGACAGGAGAAGGTGTCACTCCTGTGTGTGTGTGTGTGTGCTCTCTCCTCTGTGGTTGGACAAAAGAGGCGCCGGGGTCCTGGCGGGCCACCATCAGTTCACGCGGTGGGCACCTGGCTGTGGTGCAGGCTGAACTCCTTGGCCTTGAGGCGGAGGCTGGCGATGCTGTTGGCCATGTTGACCCCCGGGGCTGCAGGGCCTGAGCCTCCAGGGCTGTAGGGCGGCATTGTGCTAGAGATGACAGGGGCACCAGGACACATTGGTGAGACAGCTGCTGACCAGAGCTGCCCCACCCCCCACCCCCACCGCCTCAGCTGGCTCTCCTGGGAAACCTTTCCTTGGGGGGGGGGCAGGGGAGGGCATGGGGTTTGGGCAGGAATCAGAGGCACCAGGGCCGGCGCTGGGACAACACGGTCTCTGGACACTGGTGCCTTCCCTCTCTGGACCATGAGTTACTCTGCACCTGGCCTGGGCCTGGGCCACCCCTGGGCAGGGGGGCGGGGGGAATGGGTGTGGCCTTAGCACATGCCTGCTTACAGGATAGCTTGTGGTTGTTCCCCTGCACTGAGATAAGGTAAGGACAGGGCAGGGAAGGACATTGGGAGAACTGCAGGCTAATGAGGGCCTCACCTAGGGCTCAGACTAAGCAGCCCTGATGGTGCAGTGGTTGCACGTTGGGCTGCTAACCTCAGGGCCAGCAGTTCAAGACCACCAGTCGCTCCTCAGAAGAAACAGGAGGCTTTCTACTCCCATAAAGAGTTGCCGTCTTAGAAACCCACAGGGCCGGTTCCACCCTGT